GGGGGAAGTTCATGTCTATATTTCTCACAGAATAGAAATCCCTGTATACATTAGTTGGTCTGTGATTGTATGAGTGATTATAGAGTTTGCAAAAGAGAATCAAAGAGTTGAAAGAGTGGTTGGAAAATGACATGAGAAAGGCACTTATAAATATGAATAAACGATGTGACTATCGTAGACTGAGAAAATAGTTCTCTTTACGTCTGACATGAACAGTTGATACCGTTTCCATCCACATGTTGAGTATTAAGTACCTCTAATCTTCAACACTTATATGACCTTATTGTGTTGTAAGTGCCGTAAAACACTTACTAAAACAAGAGTGTTCAGTAACTTTCTATGGTGATGTGCTATCTAAGAGAGATTTTGCATTTCTCTACCCTTTTTGGGATATAGATGGCTTAGAGCTATGTCTTTTCCTCTCTTGTTTATTGCTTATAAGCTTTGGTCTGTTCTTTTTACTGTCTATCTGTTTTATTGTTGTCCTACACTTCCACTGTGGGTGGTTGGTGGGTGCTCTGGTGTGGTTTGCTTCTTCTTTCTTATCAAACATCTATTATCTCTTTTTTGTGTGTGTTTGTTACTGTCTCGTAACACCTCTAATCTTCGGCACTTATACGACCTTATTGTGTTGCAAGTGCCGTAAAACACATACTAAAACCAAATCAGTTGAGCATGCTGTTTATCCCCTTCTCTGTCTTCTTTGATGACCCCTAGGATGACCAGGTTTTGAACCACATGGCCGCCAAAATCATAGAAACGGTCACCGCTACTCGCAGTACCCACGCACAGGTGAGCTGTCTCCTGGATTTCTATGCATATTCATGATTTTCATTTCCACGTGAGCGGTTCTGGAAAAGTTTAAAGGGTATGTTTTTTTTTACAAGAAGGTAGAGCTGCTTCATTGGGGCTTTTAATACAACTTTTTGCAGTAATATTTAGAGCGAAGTTTTTCCTTATGTGGTTGAACTGGTGGTTTCTTGTGTCTGTGATTCTTTTTCTCTTGTGTGAATCGCTCAGTGATCATGTGATTGATTGTGGGTGGTTGGCGGGTGCTCTGGTGTGGTTTGCTTCTTCTTTCCTATCAAACATCTATCATCCTGATCTCTCTTCCTTCTTTTTTATGTTTGTTACTCTCTTGTAACACCTCTAATCTTTGGCACTTACATGACCTTATTATGTTTCAAGTGCCGTAAAACTCTTACTAAAACTAAAACTGTGATTGATTTAAAGGGCTCAGAGCTTATACCAGTAAGGGATAGATAAATGCTATCTATTATTTTTATTATTATTATTATTATTGTTATTATTATTATTATGACTTCTATTTTGTCTGTCTTCCGCAGAAATTTGTGACGCAGGAAGTGTGTCAGTCGCTGTGGTATCTGTTCAAACACTCGGCCGTCGATTCGGTGCGCTGCACGGCCATCTCGGTGAGTCTCCCCTCGTCATCATCATCTTCCGGTGCCTTGCCGACTGGCGTAGGCGATCATGAACCTCCACTTCACTCTGTCTTGCGTTGCAGCGATGGTGTCTGTTGTTCTTGCTGCTCCTAGCCATGTTGTCAGCTTGTCCAGTTTCTTTTTCCCTCTGTCTGCCTCTGCCTTTCTTTCCATCAAACTTGCCTGTTGTTACAATATTCTCCGGTGCTTCTTTCCGGATTGTGTGTCCGAAGAAATTTTTTTTCGTATGTTCGTCATAAATTGTCTTCTGCAATTTGCTTCAACCAAGACTTCTTCATTTGTTTTTATACCTGTCCTTGGGATAAGCAGCATGAGTCTTATGAACCACAACTCTGTCGCCTCAATTGTTCTTTCCTGGAGTCGCCCCTTGGGGCAGTGCCACTGACTGAAGTGTTTTTAGGCCATTCCCAAAGGGGGGACCTTTCTCGTTCAAGCACAGTAGAATTGTAAATGGGCTGACTCATGTCTCGCTCATAACTGTGCCTGATCTACAACAGGGAACTGCTGCTTTTTCTTTCTTAATCCTTACTATTGTAATTTTCCTCTACTTCTTTTGTATGTTTGTCATTCTCTTGTGACCTATTTCCGGGGTGCCTTGATAGTTGAACCAGACTTTGTGCTGTTGAAGCTAGAGAGATGTGCAGAGTAAGTCTGATTCCCTGTAAAGACTTCTCTGTTGACACCCACCCCTTGGCGCTCATATGACCTTATGCAGTTGCGAGCGCCGTAAAACCCTCTACTATAAAAAATAAAATTTCCTGGAGTCTCTCCCCTGGACAGGGTGCATGTGATGCCCAGGGTTGTCACATACATCTGTCCTCGCGATTTTATACCCAAAAAATTCTGAAATTATGCAAACTGAGCCCAAAAATGTGAAATTATGCGATTCTCTTAATTTTAACAAAGAATGATAAAGGAAAATAATCAGAAGTTATGAAAAAAATGATCCAATTTTGCTAAATTATGCGGGGTGCATAAAACTATGGGGATACATATGTGTCGCAACATGGTTTAATCAGGCGCTTGTAGTTTTTTTTATCACATGGAGTTATTGGTATTATTTTAAAGCCTATTCATTTGCCTTGCTTTTGGTGAAAAAAATATCCATCTATGTTGAATAGAAGTCGAAATATTTGCGATTGAAGTAGGTCAGGGTCGTCTGGTTTCAGAGGTAAAATTAGCGAGAAAATGGCCTCCAAAGTTTGTTAACTTCCATGGCCTGAGAGTTTCTCTGAACATGGAAATTTACATTCTTTGTGGCTTTAATCAATGTTTTTCAGTAAAATCCACCCAGAAATGTGTTTTTAAACGGACATAAAATGTGTTAAGCTCATATTCCGCCACCTTTCTTGTATATGATTTTGATCATTTCTTCATTTCTATATTGGCTTCTCTCTTACTCTCTTTTGTGAATCTCTGTTTGTGAAGGATCCAGTTCTGTCAAAAATATTGACACCATGCTCACTTACAGTGTTGGTCTAAAGTCTTTTTTTCAAACAAACTATTTTTGTAAAGAAAGAGGTTGAAAATGTACAAAAAAATTACCTCCCTCTTACCCTTTTTTTTCATAGTAGCAGTAAATCATTGACAAATGTTCTGAGTGGCTTATAGTAATGGTATGGGTTTAACGCCCCTATCAGCACTGTTAGGTTATTTAAGAGACACAACCTCCAAGTTTAACGTCCTTCTCCGAAAGGACCGTGAGTGGCTTAATCTGCTGTGCATGTGCGGTAGCGGAGCAGTTAGTGCGCTCGTCTCAGAAATGGAAAGTTCGGGTTGGAACCTCGGTTTGGACATGCATTTTTTTTCACCCCCTCCTGCCCACCCAGCAGTAATGGGTACCAGACTTCGAGTTGGGGAAGTAAAGGCAACGTGGAAAGGAACTGGCCATCCTACCA